GCCGACGGCCGAACCGCCGCTGCTGCTGCGGCTGCGCTCAGCTCCCATGCTGCAGCAGTGGCAGCCCATGTGGCCGTTCACCGCACCCTGGTGCGAGTGGCGCGCCGACCCGCGCCCGTCCCCCTCCCGCCGGCCCACGTCCGCCCACCCCAGGCGTGGTCAAGTCCACCAAGATGACGCGGACCATTGTGGTGCGCCGGGACTACCTGCACTACATCAAGAAGTACGCCAGGTGTGTGCAACAGCAGCAGCAGTAACAGCAGCAGCAGTACCAGCAGCAGCAGTACCAGCAGCAGCACCCGCGGCTGTGATCGCAAGACGCGGCAAAGCCTGGCGGCTTCAGGCGGCCAGCGGCGTGCCGACGGCGGCGACGGGGATGGCGGCGTCGCAGGGGACCGGGCAGGGCGGCAGCCCGGGGCGCAGCGTCGGTGCTGGGCTTCGCGGGGCTGTGGGGCGGGCAGGGGTGAAGAGGGGGTTAGCCTCGATGCGCCCAGGCAACGGCCCGCGAGGGCGGCCCGTGCTGCTGCTCCCCATCATCGCCTTTCGACCCCTTCTGGTTCCATTGTGCCATACGGCCTTGCCCTGAATCACCCCACCCGGCAACCCTGCACCCTCCCACCCCACCCCATCCCACCCCCAGGTATGAGAAGCGGCACACCAACATCTCGGCGCACCTGTCGCCGGCATTCCGCTGCAGGGAGGGCGACCGCGTGGAGATTGGCCAGTGCAGGTGGGCTGCGCGCCTCGTGGCCAGGGCAGTGCTATTGGTGTGTGCAGCAGGCGGCGTGGGGCGTGGGGGGGATGCTTTCACACATAAAACCTTGCAGCACTTGCATGGGCGGCAGGCGGCGGGTGCAGAGGCTGCAGGTGCAGAAGGGCGCGCGGGGGGCTATGTTCAGGTCGCAGGCAGATGCTGGCCGTCCCAGCCGGCGGCCTGAGCGCTCTCGCTGCTCGCGGCCGCGCCCCCCGCGCCGCCCCGCAGGCCCCTGTCCAAGACCGTGCGGTTCAACGTGCTCAGGGTGATCCCGGCCTCGGGCGGCAGCGACAAGAAGGGCTTCAGCGGGTTCTGAGCCCCGCACGGCGGCGGCCGCGGCGGCGGCGGCGACGCGTGCGCACGGCATCGGCGCCCCCGCTCGGCCCCTGTGCGGTGTAACAGAATTGGTGGATCACTCGCATCGCGTGCTTCACGGCAGCTTGGGACCCGTGTGCTGCCGTTGCCTGCAATCAAGGAGGGGCGGCTTAATCGCGACGATTGTGGGAACTTTGACGTGGGAGCTGGGGCATCGGGACATGGCTGGAGCCCCTTGCAGGCCTCGCCCCGCAGCAGCAGCAGCAGCAGAAAAGAGTTGTGCGGTGCAAAAGCGGTTGTTGGTGATGCAGGGATGCCAAGTGCGGCTGGCAGTGCAGGCCGGACAGATGGCATCAAAGACGCCAGCATGTGTGTGCAGCGCGCCAACATGGCCACGCAACACATTTGTTCACCATCTGGCTGCCTCCAGAAACCGCTTGCAGCCCGCAGCACCCTCAAGAGCCGCCGGCAGCGCGGTCAATCCTGGATATCCCCAGCCCAGGCAACACCCACACAGGCATCTGGGTGGCAGGCAGGGCTGGAAGCCCGCTCGCAAGACGCAGGTGCCTGAGCTCCACTGGTGCGCCCCGCTGTGTGGCGGCCAGAGTCGATTCGTTCCCCAATCATCCCATCCGCCGTCGCGGGCGTAAGCCTGGGCTGCCGCCCTGCGCAGGGCCACAGCAGCAACAGAAGAGTGCACACGTGAGAGGAGTGGCAACAGCTGCAGCAATGTTCGCTCTTTGCAACTCAGTCCCTGGGCAGGGTGGGCAACCCGTTTGACTCCCATGCATGCGCGTAACCGGAATGCGCCCGGGATCGCAGTCAAAGCAGCCCTGCCCCAAGCACTTGTACACTCGACGCCTCGGCCACCTTCAAACTGCTTCTCTGAGAAAACCCACAGCTAAGGGACAAGCTGTGTCCTCGCCCATGCCTGAATGCTTCTGCTTGCATTGCTGGCCAGCGGGAGGGGGGGCCCCAGGCGCCAGCCATGAATGTGTTGGATCGTCACCATGTCACAACCAGGGTGTCCGGCTTGGATGCGAGTCCATGGGTTGTTGCAAAAGGGTGTTACACCTACGAAAATCAAGGGGACCATGGTTTGCACACGGCTCCGTTCTCCACGGCTCTATTCTCAACAGACTTGGCTGAACAACTCTTGGGGCGTGCACATGGGCGGGCGGCGGGCCAGGAGCAGGCTCCCGCGCGGCGCCAATGGACTGCACAGCGTGCCGCGGGGCCGCTGCGGGAGAGCGCGCGCGCTCGAAGCGTCGCGCAAGAGCGCACGCACTTTGGCCCGGCCGGCCGGCAGGCGCCCCGTGCGGGTGGGCCTCGTCGCTGCATCGTTCGTTTTGGTCCCTGGATTGCAGTGACACAAGGTGTGACAACCCACCACATAGGCAATTGGACAAGGACCCACACAAAAGGATCGAGGGCACCGCAAGAATGATTGCCGGGCGGAGCGCCCCGCATCGGGCGCGTGCAAATGGGCGGGGCGTGCAGGGTGCCGTGGGTGCGAGCCGGCCTGTGCTGTGGCGCATGCATACTGCCGCAGCAGCCTGGCGCGCCGGACCCGGCGCCGCCCTCTTGGCCCCCCGCACCACGCCCCGCATGCATTGCAATGATGCCCTCTGCAGGGCGTACAAAGGCGGCTATTTGCAGAAAAATGGGGCCGATAGGGGCGCTCGACTGTGCATGGATGGGGTCACCGGCTGAGCCGAGTGGCTGGTGCACGGCTCATGCATGGCACGCGCAGGCGTGGGAGAGAGCTACAGCAATTTGGCAGCCCGGTCCCCAATACCCTGCACGCTCGGCCTCGGCAGGCCCTATCCAGGGGGTGCGCAGGGCCCCCAGGCGCACCTGCGCCAGAGCGTGCGGCAGCGGCCCAGGCGCAGCAGGGCCCCGCCGGCGCGCACCCGGGGGTCCGGGGCGGGCGGGGGCGCGCGCGCTCTTTCGTTCAACGGCCCTGCTGCGGGTATAAGGTGTGCCGGGCCGCGGGCTGCGGCGCGGGCGACAGTATGGAGCGGCTCTTGAGCAGCGCCGGCCCCACGCTGCTGTTCGTCGCCAGGCCGCCCCCCCGGTGCGCCGGCCGGATGCTGCCCGACTTTGTCAGCCCCCCGCCGCCGCCGCCGGCGCCGCCGCCGCTGCTGCCGATGCTCGTGCCGCTCTGCAGCACGCCGCCGCCAGTGGCCGCACTGATGCTCGGCGTGGGCGCCAGCAGCACGCTGCCCTCGCCCTTGCTTGTGAAGCTTCCCAACGCCAGCCCCGACAAATCAAAGTTGTTGGACAGCTGCGCGCTCGGCCGGTAGCTCATGCTGCGCCCGAGCGCCATCGCCGCGACCCGCAGCACGCCGCGCGCGTCCTGCACGCCCGCCGCCGCCGGCGCCGCGGCCGCCAGCACGTC